TGACAGTGTTGGGGAAGCAGCAATGCTACATCGACATGTTTCGTCGAGAATCGATTCTCTGATGACTGTGTTGGGGAAGCAGCATATGCATGTACGTAATTGGTGAATTTGTTAGTTATTTCGACGTTTTTGGACAATGCTTAACATGTACTCCTTTTTCAATAGTGTCTTGTTGAAAATCAACAGTTGAAAGCATTGCATGCGTAGAAATATTTCTGATCGATTGGTAATAAAATTATTGAAATTGATCTAGGGGCAGCTGAGTAATTAACGTTAAAAATATTTCATAATTTCGTTACATGTTCCATTTTCGGTTTTCACAAAGTGTACCCCTATATAGAAATAACAGGTGTAGTCCTACGTCAAAAGCAAGTTTAGGTCCTGATGTTATTAAAACTTTCCAAAATATTTCCGACTTTCCTTAAAGCTCTCTTAACTGCCATGAATTTCGCAGTATTTTTATATGTACTGAAATTAATTGAATTGCTTCTATAATTTTCCAAAAAATTTCCTTAATTTTTTTTAAACTCCATAAACGCTTACAGAACTTTGCCTCAAATCACTAATTTTCCCTGGAGTATTCTATGCTGCTCTGAGGTTCCCAAAATACTAATAATTCCCTGACGTTTATGAAGTTTTCGGATCATTCGCATTCGTCTTTTTGGCGCCATTGACACACTTCGTAAAGGCTGGCTAAAAGTAAATTGTTTCACCCTACGCTCGTTGCTAGCACGCCTCTAGTGTTGGGAATCGAACATCTTTGCCAGTGGGTTGCAGTGATGGGCAAAATACCGGTACAGCACCGGTACGGTTTTCTAAAGCATAACCAATGTGCTGATCTGTTGTACCGAGTGTATGGTGCCGCTGTCGGTTCGGTTTGGTAGTTGCAAGTAACACCGCACCGTGTTCACCAGTTCGCTGCACACGGTGTGGTTTTGATTTTCCAGTACCGGTGTTCTGTGTTCACAAGGATGATGTTTTGAATTCAAGAACCGATCCGGTACTGTTGTGTGTTTATGTGCGTGGTGCGCATTATTCAGAATTGCCAGTGATGGCAGATAACTAAACAGAAATTGTATTTGATGAATAATATTATGCAGTGTCAAGTCGAAATAGCGGTTTTTGAATACAGAAAAACTGTGAATTCTAATGATGTATTACGCAATGTGGGTATTTCCAGAATCGGTGTGACGTGGAGATCGGAAATCGTCAACCAACGCCACATTGAAATCCAAGATAGCGGCTGCCGGTTATAGAAAAAAATTAAACACCTTTAAACACCTGTCAAATGCCTTTCAAAATGTGTATTTCCGGAATCAGGGTGACGTCTTGAGACCGGAAATCAATGTCTGCCGCCATTTTGAAATCCAAGATGGCGGCTTCCGGTTATATTAAAACTGTGAAATAATGCCAAATATCATTCAATATGGGTATTTTTGGAATCAGAATGACTTACATAAACCAGAAATCAATGTCTGACGCCATTTTTAAATCCAAGATGGCGGCTTCCGGTTGTAGAAAAACTGGGATATAACGCCAGGATATCACTATGGGTATTTTTGAAATCAGGATGACGTATAAATACCAGAAATCAATGTCTGCCGCCATTTTGAAATCCAAGATGGCGGCTTCTGGTTATATAAAAACATTAAAAGCTGGGAAATAATGCCAAATATAATTCAATATGGGTATTTTTGGAATCAGGATGACGCATATATACCGGAAATCAATGTCTGACGCCATTTTTAAATCCAAGATGGTGGCTTCTGGTTAAATAAAAACTGGGAAATAATGCCAAATATCCTTCAATATGGGAATTTTTGGAATCTGGATGACGTATAAATACCGGAAATCAAGGTCTGACGGCATTATAAAATCCAAGATGGTGGCTTCCCTTTATAGAAAAACTGGGAAATAATGCCAAATATCCTTCAATATGGGTATTTTTGGAATCAGGATGACGTCTTGAGACCGGAAATCAATGTCTGATGCCATTTTGAAATCCAAGATGGTGGCTTCTGGTTAGATTAAAACTGGGAAATAATGCCAAATATCCTCCAATATGGGTATTTTTGGAATCAGGATAACGTAAATATACCGGAAATCAATGTCTGACGCCATTTTTAAATCCAAGATGGCTTTATAGAAAAAACTGGGAAATAATGCCAAATATAATTCAATATGGGTATTTTTGGAATCAGGATGACGCATATATACCGGAAATCAATGTCTGACGCCATTTTTAAATCCAAGATGGTGGCTTCTGGTTAAATAAAAACTGGGAAATATTGCCAAATATCCTTCAATATGGGAATTTTTGGAATCTGGATGACGTATAAATACCGGAAATCAAGGTCTGACGGCATTATAAAATCCAAGATGGCGGCTTCCCTTTATAGAAAAACTGGGAAATAATGCCAAATATCCTTCACTATGCGTATTTTTGAAATCAGGATGACGACATGGAAGGAATAAAACCTATCATGCCACACTTCACATTACTTCCAAATTCGATAACAAGATCAATAACAAAATTGGACCACATTGGCCACTTCCGGGCATGTTCTGGGTGCCCCCGGGGAATTTAGGGGCTTAAAATGACAGAATATCAGAACTTAATTCCGGATTCATAGTTTATTTTTCTCCTAGGAGTTTTTTTTCGGAAATAAGTTTCAGTTAGCAATTTTTAGCGTTAACATTTTATTTCAAGTTAATTTACACACAGAAGGTGTATGAGAAGTGCTTAATGTAAATTCATATTGACATATTCTTTCGGCGCTTTCGTGGTAGTTTGACTAAACTAGCGATTGGAAAAATTGGTCCAACCATCATCAGTTTTTGGATAGGTCCAACCAAAATCAAATACCCTATTTGGACCCCCATGGTCACCCCCGTGTCCATAGTGCAGAAAAGATTCTCGTTCTTACTCTCCAACTCGGCTATATGCAGCACACAGCTGATCGACGTCCATATGATGAGAAACAATAGTTTCTTCGTCTGGGACATTTCTACACTTCTCACAAGCAGATCAAACCGGCCGCATAGGCACATACAGAACATACTGTGCTTTCTATAGCCTGAAAATAGATGTACCCCTCTCATTCCTACCCCACTTCCACCGCAACAGCAGCAGCAGCAGCAGTAGCATCAGCAATAGAACAGTTCGATGGTTGAACACCGAACCAAAGGGTCCATCGTTTACACAGACGGACTCTGTGTAGACCGCGCGCGCTCGCTCGCCTCGTTGGCATCACTTGCCCACATTGGCATAGCTAATGGGGGTACCAGGGGAGCCAGGCCCCTCCAGAATTATCCAGGCCCCCTCCAGATAAATTGTCTAGCTACGCCAATGCTTGCCCACAGATCGGGAATGGGTGTAGTAAAATAGCAATTGTAAATATTGTCAAATAAATATGGACAATTTTTGTATTGTGAAGTTTGTTGTGTATTTTCGTATAAATGATTAATGCACCCCAGTCCCTGAGTTTTGGCCAGTCTATCCCGGCGTCAACAAGTGCCATAACTGGCTCACTTACCCTATCACTTCGTTTTTTAATTGGAAAATTATTCATTGTCATTTCGGCTCCGTAAGTTTTTTTTTAAGTCAGTAGAGCCTAAGTAAATAAACGGATTGAAAAAAAGCGGCTAAAGTTTCGACTAATGGAGTTGAGAAAAATGTCCTAAATGTTGTGGGTTTTACTTATTGTAGCTACCAATGGACACACATTGCAGATATTATCAAGTTCATGAATTGTGGTTAATTTTCTACACGACTACACTCCGGTGCCGCTTAAGCAAACAATCCACCACCAATTTCCCGTGGTGAATTGACTTCCCAAACACAATTCAACGCGCCCATAAACAACTTAGCTGAACCACGAAATTAGCAATCGTGATTCTCTGCTACCATCCTCTTCTTTGAATCATATTTTACATAAACTTATTGTCCTCGCTTTTATGAAACAACAAAACATCAACTTTACTGTCTGCGCCCTTATCCCTCCACCACCACACGCTTTATGGACCTGCATCTTACAAAACGGATATCGTGTCCCCTTCCGAGATGGACCAAAAAAAAAAAAAAAAAAAGAAGCAAAATCAACAAGCAGATCATCTTCCAAATCGAAGAACGTTGTTCCGTTGGAAAAATCTTGAAAGACTTCGCATTCCGAGTGACGATGCCAGCTGCCGCCCTAGGGAGGGGGAACAAGGGTGACCGAAAACTTTTCGCCTTCTTATTTTTAATCGCAATCTGCCGTTGTCTTGCCTTGTTCCGTTTTTTCCAGGAATTTTTTTTTCTATTTCGAAAACTCGTGGGGTCGCAATGAGAACCCAATTTGACTTTGAGTAAATAATAATAAACGAAATCAAGTTCACAAGATTGCCACTGTCTGCTGTTGCCGCCGGAATGGGATTACCACCGACAATCCGAACGGTTTCCTTTCGTTTTTCGACGTCGTCGAGACGCTCGCCCTATATAGAGGTATATGTAGGGCAAGTGGAGGCAATCAAATCCGATAAACTCGTGAATGTCAATATAGGCTTTTCGCTTATTTTTGGCTCCCCCAACTGCAAGTGCTCGCACCGAGTGTTCACCGTACGTTTTGGGTACACGGCGGATGAGAACGACCCGAATTTGAGTTTAGGAAAATTGACGAAAATTTTACTCAGTCCAGGAGTAGTACCAACACTGGAAAATGGATTTTTGAGTAAGCTAAACTCAAATTTGGGTCGTTCTCATTCGCCGTGTAGGCATGAGATGAGGGTGGTGAAATTCCGTTTCGTTCTTACATTTGACATCCCACCCACGAGAAGCAAGATGCGTGTGATCCCTCTGAAAGAAGTAAAAGTAAATATTATTTTCCGGAATCAATCATCGCGCTCAACGCACCTGCATAGCCGGTGTTCGATTCGATTCCGATTCGACACGATTGATTTGTGGATTTCACTGGCTGTACTAAATCGAATATTTCGTTTCTCTTTCTTTTCTGTTTTAACAGGAGCCGTTGTGGGGCTACGCAATTTGGCCCTAGTCATCAAGCCGCCCTGGGTTCGCCGGGGCCAAGAGGCTCAGCTGCACTGCCAGTACCATATGGATGACAGAACACCACTCTACTCGGTGAAGTGGTACCGCGGTACGCTGGAGTTCTATCGGTACTCACCGTTTGAGAATCCACCGGCGAAGATTTTCCCCTTCACCGGGATTAAGGTCGATGTAAGTATGCTCTGAATTGTTACACGAAGTGCTGGTAGAACCAGAGAAAATCGTTACACGTCATTTTGATAAGCAACCGAGTAAAGCTGAAGATCAAATTGAATACAAAATTTGCTGTTATGATGTAGCTTAGCAGGGTATCAAAACACATTGAGCAAGCAAAAATATAGACAAATCACTTGCGACGATTGGCATGACAAAGTCTCTATCTGCAACATAGCTTGACCAGAACGGTGGAAACAATAAGATAAAATTGTTTGCAAGTTAGTCTGAAACATATGCGGTTGATGATACCTTTTACACGCCAAAGCCCATTATAGATGTGATACAAACACTAAAGCTGCCAAGCCTTCTGAGCAGCGTTTATTAAATGTTACGTGGATTGCAGTGTATAACGTGCCTTAGTTTGTTAAATATAGACAGTGGATGAATGTAATCCACAGGAAATCGAAAAGCGGGGACATACCGTATCTACTGGATCGAACGCTCAATTAGTAAATTAATTAGGTGAATCGTTGGGAGTGACATGTGAGTTCGTTTATGTTGCCATGGTAAACCAAAGAGAAAGTCGATGAAGAGATAGGCCCTTTTGAAATGTTACGCGAGAAATGACAGATCATAGTCACCCTTTTTTTATTTTACCAGTCTCGAATTGGACGCTCACTATGGGCATTTTTGGACTCTGGACGATGTCTAGAGTCCAGAAATTGATATCCGACGCCATTTTTAAATCCAAAATGGTGGCTTCCGGTTTAAAAAAAACTGAAAATACTGTCAAATACCCATCTACATGGGTATTTATGGGATCAGCGTGATGTTAAGATTCCAGAAATTGATACCTGACGCCATTTTGGAATCCAATATGGTGGCCATCTTGTTCAAAATAAGTGGCCAATACCCTAAAATATGCGTATTTGCGGAACGGAGACGACGTGTAGATGCCAAAAATCGATGTCTGATGCCATTTTGGAATCCAATATGGTAGCCATTGGTTTCAAAAAGAGTCAAATACCCTACAATATGGATATTTTCGGATAAGAGACGACGTGTAGAGGCTGAAAATCGATGGGCCTTACGGAACGGGGACGACGCGTGAAGGCCGAAAATCGATGTTCGACGCCGTTTTAGAAAAAGTATAAAATTATTATACAATATTGTCGCCATCGTGGCTTCCAAATAAGTTGAGGACATCAATTATAAGGAAATTATCCATAATTTAGGGTATTTATCACTTTTTTATTAACCCAACGGCCGCCATATTGGATTCTAAAATGGCGTAGGATATCGATTTTCTGCATCTACCGGTTGTTCCCGTTCCAAACATTTCCTTATTGATGGGTATTTGCCGCTTTTCAGTACCCAATGACCGCCATATTGGATTTTTAAACAGCATCGGAGATCAATTTTCGGCATCTACACATCGTCCTCGTTCCAAAAATTCCCACATTGTAGGGTATTTGCCACTTTTTGTGGACCCAATCGCCGCCATAGTTGATTCCAAAATGGCGTCGTGTATACATTTTCGACATCTGCATGTCATCCTCGCTCTGAAAATACCCATATTGTAGCGTATTTTCCACATTTTCTGAACCAAATGGCCACCTTATTGGATTTCAAAATGGCGTCGGACATCAATTTCCATCCTCTTTACATCACCCCGATTCCAAAAATACCAATATTGATGGGCATTTGACAGTATTTCCCACTTTTCGTTAAACCGTAAACCGCCATGTTATATCGGATATCAATTTACGGCCTCTAGACATCACCCCGATTCCAAAAACACCCATATTGATTGGTAGTTGACAGTATTTCTCACTTTTCAAGAAACCGAAAGCCGCAACATTGGAAATTAGTCATGTCTTACTATGCCAAAAATAAAAACACTAACTTTTTTTCTTTGAAGATATAGGGGAACGATGTCTTGAGTTAAGTTGTACTTCTTTCCTCTATTTAACGTCGGTCTCTGTTCCGCAATCTAGTGCCAATCACCGACGGACATCGATTGCCATCCATTGACGGCAATCGAATGTGCAGGAAGGCAGCTCCACACCTGCGTAGGATATTGCACCCATTCAACACACATGGGCCGGGACCAACGGCTTTACTTCCCTTCCGAAGGAAGACGTGACCAGAGATTTTTATGCCTCAGAAAAATTCCACCGACCTCGGTTGGGATTGAACCCAGACCCATTGGGGTGAGAAAGCAGTCACACTTACCACTACACCACCGGTGTCGGCTGTAACTGCTCCCAATCCATCGGGGAAAAAACCGCCTGGAAGAACTCTGGATCCCACAGCGCAACTATCGAAAGATAAACAAACTTTGACGTTTAACTTTTTGCAAGCTACTTTGCTCCATAAATGCTGCCATAAATCTGAGCTATAGATACTATAGATTACATAGATAAGCGGAGTCAAAGTAAATATCAAGAGCAAATTTTCATTATGTCGTAAGTAACATTCGCACCAATCCGAGAAAAATAAAGTTTTGTTTTGATGACAGAAAAGTTATTCCTATTTCCAAGTAAACACATATAATCTCATAGTGATAGCAATGTTTGAGATTTTTAGCAGGGTTTTAATCATACAAATGCAAATCGCTAGCTTTCATGCTAAAAAATACTGGTTTTTGAGTCAAAAGTTATTATACGTCGTTTGGTGGCCCCTATTGTTACTTAAGTCAAAGTGTATTTACCAGGATATTCGGGAGAATTATCAATTACGTCTCCTTACGTGCAGCCCATTCATCATTTTAGGACTACCGAAATCATCTTAGCATTAAACAGTTCGATTTTTTTTTTTTTTTTTTTTTTTTGTTAATAAACAGTTCGATTTATTCACTTTAATAATGAGAAAGCGAAACGACGAACGTACACTTTTCACGGGTTTCTCAGCGCTGTTACTTAAGTCAAACGGCATCTCCATAGAAATTGGGTGACTTAAGTAACATCGAAAACTATTTTGATCGGAAGGTGATTACGTCGAAAAGCAATTTGACTGACAAATAAATTTAAAATGGGATTTGATCCTATATTCGGACAGTATATAGTGTAATAGCAGGAGCATCGATTGACACTGATAGCTCGACTTCGTTAACCTTTGTTACATTCGACGTAATGAAAATTTGCTCTTGATATAATGTAGCCAAACGAACTGTCAATTAGTGTAGCCAAACGAGCATGACGCCATCATAGAGCTTTTTGACGTTCGATCGGCGCACACTAATGCACCATTTAAATTGAACGAGTGCGAGCAAGAGGGAAACAGATTAGTCACAGATTAGGACATAATTCCTCGAAATTCCGTAAAAGATCTTGAAACTTTCCTGAAATTAGGGGCTATTTTGGAGTTCTCTGGTCATCCTCGAAGCGCTCGGAACTTCCCTGACTACCGGAATATCTCTAATCATTTTTAGAGGTCTCTGTATATCTCTTGTATAATGCCTCTTCCTCGATTATCTCGGAGAGCCAGCACGGGTTCATGAAACATCGGTCTACAACAACAAATCTGATGTGTTACGTCACCAAACTGTCTCGTGAAATTGAATAAAGAAGGCAAGTAGACGCGGTGTATATTGATTTTGCTAAAGCGTTCGATACTGTACCGCACATTCTAGTCACTGATAAAATGAGGCACATAGGATTCCCCGATTGGATAACAGAGTGGCTTTTGTCGTACTTATCGAATCGAAATGCTTATGTGGTTGTTAACTCTGCACGATTCCATTCATTCAACATCATGTCTGGTGTACCGCAAGGTAGCGTTCTCGGTCCTCTAACCTTCAACATTTTTATTAACGACCTGTGCATACTACTTTCATCATTCAAAGTTTCCTTTGCCGATGATCTCAAAGTGTATCGCATCATTGCCTCATCTTTAGACTGTGACGCTTTGTAGGAGGATATAAAGGTCATGCTTACCCGGTGCGGTGACAACGGCATGAGCGTTAACAGCAAGAAGTGCAAGATAATATCGGTCATCGCTGTATCGGTCAAACTCACCATCGGTACTATATGGACGCAGAGACACTCGAACGGGTTAATTCGATCTGCAATCTGGGAGTCACCATCGATTCAAAGCTGAGGTTTAACCCTCCGTTACTCGCGCCAACTTTTGTAACACGAGTACTCGCGCGTTGTACTTTGTACAACAGTGTGAATTTTCTATTGCCATTTTGCAGCCGAGCTACCAACCGATATGAAACCAACAGGTATTCCTTAAAAAACTTGTTTTTAACTAAACAAGTTATACTTTTATCACAGTTAACTCAAAAAAATACGGATAATAGAGGAAATGTGGATGGAAACCGCGTAAACGGTGCCCGTACTACGTGGGATTTGAGTTAATTGGTTACAACATGGAAAATCTCGAGATCCTGACCAGATAGAAAGTTACTGTCTTGGGCAAAGTTGTTTTAGAGATCATAACCTTTTCGCTGGTGGTGAGTAGTTCAAAATTTTCTCACTACGTAGTGCTAGAATACATGTGAAATTATCGCATGTGAAATATCTCGAGATCCTGACCAGATAGAAAGTAACAAAGTTGTTGATGAGATCAAAGTCTATTTATTGGTGCACAAAAGTTCAAAATTTTCTCAATATCGCATATTTAAATATCTCTAGATCCTTACCAGATAAAAAGTTACTGTCTTAGGCAAAGTTTTTCAGGAAGTCAAGATCTTTTCGTTGGTGGAGTAGTTCAGAAAATTCTCACTACGTGGCCCTAGTAAATACGTGTAATTCTCGCATATACAATAGCTCGAGATCCTGAGCAGATAGAAAGTTACTGTTTTCGGCAAAGTTGTTCAGGAGGTCAAAGCCTATTGCTTGGTATACAATAGTTGAGAATTTCCTAAGCGGTGCTAGTATACACGTGAAATTTTCACATATAAAATATCACGAGATCCTGACCAAATAGAATGTTACTGTCTTCGGCAAAGTTGTTTAAGAGGTCAAGGTCTTTTGGCTGTTGGACAGAAGTTCATTTTTTTTCACATC